GCGGCTGCATGGTGCTTAGTTGCTGTCTGGGGCTAAACCACGACAGAAAGGAAGAAAGAAAAGAAAAAAAAAAGGAAGAAAACTTGAAAAGGAAACAAAAAAAATGATACCACCTTTTATCCATATATTCTGTTGATAGATTGGTCCATTCCCCAGTTAGTGAGTGCAGATGACGGAAATAAACAGTTTTCTGACAGTAAGAGCCAGTCACTCCTGACTGTGTGACAAAACAGCACATCCCCCTCCCTTGACTTTCACTTAGCTGGACTACATTAGGTGAATGGTTTCAGCTTCATCTTCCCTGTCAGGTTGTCTAAGTCTCTGATTATAGCAGTAAATGCTTTTCTAAAAGTGTTAACCAGCTGTATTGGGTTTGCATGGCAAGGTTTTGGTAGCTGGGTGGCTACAGGGGTGGCTTCTGTGAGAAGATGCTAGAAGCTTCCCCTATGTCCAACAGAGCCAATGCCAGCTGGCTCCAAGACGGACCTGCTGCTAGCCAAGGCCAAGCCCATCAGTGACAGTGGTAGCGCCTCTGAGATAACATATTTAAGGGGAAAAAACTGCTGTGTGACAGCAGCCAGAGAGAGGAATGACAATATGTGAAAGAAACAATGCCGGAGCAGAGATTCCCCTGCAGCACATGGTGCAGACCATGGTGAGGCAGGCTGTGCCCCTGCAGCCCATGGAGGCCCAGGGTGGAGCAGATATCCACCTGCAGCCCATGAAGGACCCCACACCGGAGCAGATGGATGCACCCAAAGGAGGCTGTGACCCCATGGGAAGCCCGTGCTAGAGCAGGCTCCTGGCAGGACCTGTGGACCTGTGCAGAGAGGAGCCCACGCTGGAGCAGGTTTGCTGGCAGGACTTGTGACCCATGGGAAGAACTCATGTTGGAGAAGTTTGTGGAGGACTGTCTCCCGTGGGAGGGACCCCATGCTGGAGCAGGGGAAGAGAGTGAGGATGAAAGAGAGGCAAAGACAATGTGTGATGAACTGACCGCAATCCCCATTCCCCATCCCCCTGCACTGCTCAGGGGGAGGAGGTAGAGAAAATCAGGAGTGAAGTTGAGCCCAGGAAGAAGGGAGGGGTGGAGGGAAGGTGTTTTAAGATTTGTTTTTTATTTCTCATTATCCTACTCTGATTTGATTGGTAATAAATTAAATTAATTTCCCCAAGCTGAGTCTGTTTTGCCTGTGACAGTAATTGCTGAGTGATCTCCCTGTCCTTATCTCTACCCAAGAGCCTTTCATCATATTTTTTTTTTCCCTGTCCCAACTGAAGAGGGGGAGTGATAGAGAGGCTTGGTGGGCACCTGGCATCCAGCCAAGGTCAACTCACCACACCAGGTTAATCTATCTTGAAACTAGGTGACCAGAACTAGTAATGCATAAAGTCTTTGTCTCCTATTTTGTACTGATTTTTCCTTCCCAGCTTCATTTGCAGTGTGTGTTATCAAACCCAGTGGGACTTTATATATATAGAGATAAAACACTCTGTTGAATAAAAGCCAGACTGGATAAGGCTGGTGGCTTATGCAAAATTCTTTATTTTGGAATCTAATCTGTTAGATCTAATCTGAACTTGATGGAATTTCTATACTTTCATTGAAGCGCTCTCTTTTTCTAATCCTTACTATTCTGTATAGACATACACAACCCTTTACTCAAGACCATGAAGTGGCCTATCCAAACTCTCTCTCTAAAGGAAAACGTTGAGAGGAAGAAGTCTGATTTGCCTTTCTGCATAATGTTTTCTCTAAACAGGCACATACGAAGCTACAATATTTTAGAGACAGAAGTAGAAAAGCATTTAAAAATTAAAAATTAAACCTAAAGGAGAATCTTAGGAGAGAGGGGACAATAGAACTGGGAAAACAATAAAGCAGTCAAAAAGCAAAGAAAGATGCATGAAAGTTGAACTAGGGGTTGTTTCTATGAGAAAATACATAGAGCCATGAAAACGGTGGGAGTAAAGAGAGATTCAGGCATGTGCAGGTTCTCACAGCTCCAAGGTTCCAGCTTACTAGTAGCAATAGAAAAGCTTTCTCAAAAACATGCTGGCTTTGGAGAGTAACTTTGTGTCAGATCATCTGTGGAACAAATCCAGGCACTGTTTAAGTCAAATAAATTTGTATTTCACTACTGTAATACAAACACAGCAGAGTACGTTTCACTCACTAAAATACTACGTTACACCTCATGCAGCCCATTGTCTTAGTGATCTGTGCAGTGCCTTCCGGGAATATAAATCTTGAAACCATATTCTTTCTTCACCTCCACATTAGAAGATGCAATATTGACCTCAGTAGCCACATGCAAGAGTTCAGTGACCAGTTCAGGCACAGGCTTCTCACCAGTAAGCTTCTCCAATTATGGCTTTAAAAATGGCTATTGTTTTTAAATGATCACTAATGTTCCTTTCCCTTGAGGGGTTTGGAGGCTCTCCTGGGGCATGAAGAAACAGGAATGAACATGGAGACACATAGAGACTGTGGTGTGCAAGAGCTTGCTGTGGTTACTGCAGTATCTCTTGGGCCCTGAGGAACTTCCATGCCTTCCATGAGGCTCCTCGGGGGACTCTGGGATCTTGGCTGATGGATGTCCAGGGGCCATGGCAGTGCAGAAAGGTAAGTGCTTGGGGCCACACTAGACAGAAGGGCAATGGGACAAACAGGAGCTGGAACAGGGTAGGGGAACATTGTCCACTAGTGGGTAGAAAAGTCCTTGAAGCCACCTGGGGTGAGCAGATGTCATCTGTAAGCAGGGGAAAGGGTATCTACAGCATGCTTTTAAATATATTTTATAATTATGACCAATAATCATATTGACCTTGCTTGCCAGTCACAATGAATAGCCCTAATTCATCCATTACACCCAAACTCGAGTCTCTACGTTGCCAGCTCTGAGTGTGTAACAGATGTTCACCATCATGGGTACCCTCATCTCTCCCCACCGAGTGGGCAGGCAGATGGGCCAGCGTTAGCAGCCCTCAAGGGCAGGCAGCATGAACTGCTTCTTGCTCTCTCAAAAGTGGTGAGTCCTACCCAGGAAGATATACCCCCACACCCTTGCCAAGGGGAACAAGGAGTTCATACACCATGTCCAAGTGCCAGACTAGGAAAGGGGCAGCATGAAACAAGTGTGAGCACGAGACGGTGGAGAGATGCACATGCTTTTCAACAAAAAACGCATTTGGCAGAAAACTGTAAACTTTCCTTTGTGAGATGCTACGAATTATTGCTGGCTGATTTGAGACATATCTGGATCAAGCTGAAGGAGGGCTTAGGTAAGGAAACCATTTGGAAACAAGACTAGGGTTTTTTTTCCTTTAGTTACTTGCCTTCTCCTGTGGTGTGAAAACACCACAAATTGCTTAAACTTAGAGGGCAGTATTCTCATCCTTGCTAGCACAGCTAGCAATGAATTATCTGCTCAAAGGAATGCTTTGGTCTCTAAAGCAATGTGATGTTTCCAAAAAGCTGTTTGGTGAGAACCAATAATATATGTACACTAATCTCTGGCATGCGTGGTTAGGGACAACTCCAACTTCATTTCCAGACACAGTTCACAAAATGAGATTATAGCTGTGTTGTTGACTGTGTTTCAAAAAGACTACAGCAAATAGAGTCCAAATCAGCACATTGGCAATGTGCCCAAGAATGGCATGAAAATTAATTGAGTAAGCAGTAAAACAGTATCATAATAAGGTTTCTGCATTTTTTGGCCTAATGCAGATGGTGTTTCAAGTACACAAGTTTGGAGCACTTACCAGCAGGTGCTGTGGCAGTTCTTGGTGCTGGAAGTAAGCTCCTGCGTGGAGTCGCTGTGCTGCTTGATACCTGCGTTGTGCTCTTGCTGGTCCCCTTGGGGATGTCTTTAGAAGGTGCAGATGCCTTAGGAGTGGTTTGCTCTTCATTTCCAAAGCTGGAACCTGCAGGAGACCAAAATTGCTCTAATTATAAGTTCATAAAAAATGTATGTGAACTGTGGCATACAGACTGAGCTTGTATCAGCAATTATAATCTACAAAGACATATTCTCATTGCAACTGGGGCTAAGTTACATGGACTTTCTCCAGTACAAATGGTTATGTAGAAACTAAGAGTTCCCAGCAACTTATTTAAATCCCAAGTCTTGGCAGCTGTTGGAGTCTGACTCCAACAGAAATTTAACGCTTGCTTTTGGGCTAGCTCCATAAAGGTATCTGGCTGCAAGGCTCATAAAGAAACCAAGGTATTTCTAAATATCTGGGTGGATGAGTTATTTTTGGCTTTGTAGCTTCTACAGGAGGCACCCTACACACTCACCCTAACACTTGGGAGTTGCTGGTTGTCAAACTAAGGGAGAATAGCAGGGCTCAGTGGTGCAAGGCACCGAATTCTGCTATCCAGGAGGAATTTCCCACAAACAGTCCCTCAGACCACATTCAGACATTTGAATAATAAGATGAAAAACAAAAACAAAAAAATTCTGCCTTGACTCTCACATCCGCTTCAATCATATTCTCATAATGAATCTTAGGTTGCCAAGGTTTCCAGTTTATATTGACCTCTTTCAAAACCTCTAATAGGTTTGCTTTCCTCCTGCATTTGCCATCTAGGGAATAATGACATCCTAGGCTCCTTGTAGATATAAGGAAATCAATTGTTTCTTAACATTTGAAAAAGGCAAAGTTGGTATGTCTTCTTTACCTTTTGAGTAGAAAGCCTTAGAGGAGCAAAAGATTACAGCATGTCTGGACTTGAACATTTGCAGGAGGATGAACATTTTGTTTGAAAAAATGAGTGCAGATAGTGGCAAGAAATACAGAGGATTTCAGAAAAGGGCTATAATTTTTATTTCCATTATTTTAAAAAGATACCATACAATAGTATTTAGGTACTGCCTGCAGGAAAATGATAACATTATTTTAATAATTGGCATGTCCAAGTCTCCAGTATTTTTAAGATCTAGCCTTCTTAAATGTGTGCAAGTAAAGGAGAGATTTTTTTTTTGCCTTTCTTACTGAAAATCCACTAGGAAAAAAGTGCAGGTTGGAAAAGAAAATCCTCTTTTCTTATAGAGGAAGAACATACCTTTTGGCTCTGACAAAGCAGCATTAAGCTTTGCTGTGTCTTTAAGGCTGCTTGCATATAGGTCTTAATTTAAAGCACCTATCTGCAGTATACATTGACTTCTACAAACACACTTGACCTTTGTTCAAATAATAAGCCACATTAAAAATTCAAACAAAACAGTCTACTGTACACTATACAGGAACAGGAAAACCTGAAGCATTTGTCACCTTTACATTGCTGTGGACGTAAGAACCCCTCAGCACATCAGGTCTTTGTTTGATATCTAAACTATGTGGATTTTTCACCTGTGTAGCAAACATTTAAGATTACATGCTGATTTATCTGCTGACAAAACACTGCTGACTTCAATAAAGGCACATCAGCAGAACTTCTGGCCCAGCCTGGCCCAGTCTCCTCTGCAGCTGTGCACAAGGACACCTCTACCAGGTGCCAGGGGGATGTTACAGCATGTGCGTCCACCTCAGTCCGTCTGCATCGTGCTCCTGAAGTTACTCCTGAAGTGGTCTCAGATATGTGCTCATCCAGTCGGTTTGGGTAGCACCGCCTGCAGAAAATGTTTTCTTTCCTTCGCTATTTGTTTAAAAGTTTCGGTTGTAGAAACACTAACACTCAAGAGGAAATTATTCCTGTTATTTGCAGCAAAATGCTGTTCAAGTGTTCTTTAATTGAAACCCTTTATTCTCTGTTGTGAAATGTATTATATGGAGAACGTTTCAACTCGCAAATCTGCCCGAACGGAAGCAATTCTTGTGTTGAAGAACGAGGTGTCCAGGGGAATTACCTAACCTCTTATTAAAAAAAAAAGTGAAAAAGCTTTTCTAGGTATTGAAGACAAAGCACTGCCAGCTACAAACACTTCTACTGTCTAAAACACAGCATAAGAGGTCTGCTAATTACAGAAATGAGTGGGTAGGAAAGCTGGCAAACACGGCCTCGTCAGGTCCCCTGAATCGGAAAGGCCCAGCGCCTGGCGGGAGCCATCCGTGCACCTGGTGCCCTGGCTGGACAAACCCCTTCAGGAGAAGAAAAACAAAGGAAAAGAGCAATTCAGCTCTTGATCTTTTCATAAGAAATAGACTCAGGGAGACAAGCTGCATCGCTGTACTGGCTGGCTGTGGCAAGGTGTTGGGGGGCTGCAGGGGCGGCCTGCGGCAGGAGGGGGCGGGGCTGCCCCATGCC